CAACCACCAGAGGCGTTCTCCCATTGGCTGTGATGCCGCCCCAAATCATAACGCTGCCTCCACCGAAAGAACGTCGTTGTACCACACACGCGTCACGGAATCGTTCTTCAACGCAACGATACACTCTGGAACGGCCGTCACTACTATCCAGGTGGACTCGCGACTCGTCCGTAAACAAAATGCCTGCCCAATCCCGTCGAGTAAATCACAGATGCCTTCTGCACCAGTCCAGACGTGCTACACGATGACGTGGCAGAAGAACTGTGCGGATTGCAGGACGTCGCGGACGGATAGCTCGTTCACGCAATCGGTTCCGTACAGTTCTCGGGCTTATTGGTAGCAACCCAGGGATTGTTCGTGCAGTCAAACTTGCCGTTTGGAAGCGATTTCTCAAATTGACAAGCCGAATATGATTGTCCTGTTGACGTGACGTCACATATGGACGTCCCGCACGAGGTCGATCGCCGACGTGGCCAAACTGTTTGTGTTTCGATTGACATGAAAACGTGTAGAGACAACGGCTTGGACCATACCAACTTGAAGCATACCAATAATCCGGAGGCGGTCATTTTCATTGAGCCTCGGCATAGCATTTATCACAAATTAAAACGTTATAATGCTGTTTTTACTGTTCACTGGTCTCTACAGAGTGACCCAACAGTTGAAAAATAAACTTTCATTGTCGAATTGGATGGCTGGACGAGTAAAACGTGCAAACTGGTCAACGCCTATAGAGAGCAAACTGCATGGGAACAACTGTCAATGACACACGGATAGTGTGTATGTGTCATACTCGGTCATGTGTGTGCATTTCATGTATATACAGTTGGTAATACATGTTCTATAACAATTCTCCGCATGCACAGTTTCTTTTTTCCGCTAGTATATTTTTAAAATCTGAAATAGTTTAAATGTTGGAAACCATTCGAAGCTGTAAGGGTTTAGTCATATATTTTAATGTTTATCAAAAAACATTCCCATGTTACATTATAGAACATGTCACCCGAGTCATTGAACGATGGATACAGCACAAAGAGCTATCCTCTAAACTTTTCAGAACCTTTATGCAAAAGGTAAGACATCAAACACATTTTTCTACAAGTCATTTTAAAAATCTTTGAGATATTTGCCTTCTGATATCAGATCTGTGACCAACAAAATAATTTTAAGAAAAGAGTAAAAGCATTTTTTAAGCAAAGCTCATAAATGATGCTCATACTTTTTATAAAGATTTTTTTGCATTATTTGGTTAATCTTGAGGTTAGCATACACATAATTCGGTAGTTATTGTAATTCGAAAATTCCAGAACATGTTTTTATATAGAACAATCTTGAATTGTTTTTAAATTACGAATACAAACCCAAACTTATATTTGTGATATTAATTTACGCCTTACATTACAGATCCATTATTTTATTCTGAAGTTCCGTGTTTTAATATATACATATTTCGAACTTATAATAACGATACAAAAAAAAATCTTCATTTCAAGAAATTAATCACCAAAACGTCTGTGTATTTTATTGATTATGCATTTGGGCCCGGTTGTGGGTTACAATGAATGCCTATACAGCCGTCAGGAGAATTCCAATACAATGGACTTATTGTTGTACAAGTTGTAACAAGTATGAAATCGTACCCCTGTTGTTGAAGAGAGAAAATTCAAAATAACATAGCAGCCTATATTGCCGGGAAAATGTCATTATAACCCGTGGATGTATGAAAACTTGGTTGTGATTTTCGGGTGAGCCTGGTTTTAGCAGCCACCTGTCTTAAGAGGCCAATTTCTGCCGGTCCCTTGAGTGGCCTCTTGATACATGTTTGACTGTTTACGACTTTTCTGTGTTGTCCTGGTAAAACATCTATTGTATTGTTAATGTACTGGACATTTATGTCTTGATACAATGTCTGGAATTGTGGCAGTCTGAAAATAGTTTGCATCCAATTTCAGTTTTTATAAGTTTGTTGAAATCTTTCAAACTGTGCATGTACAAGAGGCCCAGAGGGCCTGTATCGCTCGCCTGAATATTTAAGCAGTCATAGCAAAATATATTCATTAAATATTAACCTGTACTACAAATATTTCACTCGCTATCTTTGTTGGCTCCATCTGTTGAAACTACCAACCAAATATTATTATATGATTCTATACCCATGAGTTCTCAAGAAGAAGTTGTTTGAAGTGTTTGACATATTTTCCCCTGTACCCTTGTAATAAGGTCAAGGTAATATTCCTTCTCAAACTTGGTTGGCTCTATCCCAAGAAGCTACCAACCAAATCTTATGAATCCATTCCTTCTGGTTCTTCAAAACAAATAGTTTGAAATGTTGTTGACCTCTGTGACCTTTAAAGTAGGTTAAGGTCATTTTCATTTGTAAACTTTAGTGAGCTCTATCCCAAGAAGCCTCCAGTCATATATATAGAGTTTATACTTTTCAGTTCTTTAAAAGACGTCGTTTGAAGGGTTTGACACATTTGAACCCTGTGACCTTGAAAATCGGTCAGTCATTTTCATTCTCAAACTTATATTTGTCGGGCTCCATCACAGAAAGCCACCAGCCAAATATGAAGATTCCATACATTTCAGTTCTTCAAAAGAAGTCGTTTGAAGTGTTTGACATATTTGACCCCTGTGACATTGAAAGAAGGTCAAGGTCATTTTCATTCCCAAACTTTGTCAGGCTTTATCCGAGGAAGCCATCAGCCAAATATGAAGATTCCATACCTTTTAGTTCCTCAGAAGAAGTCGTTTTAAGAGTTTCACATATTTAACTGCTGTGACCTAGAAAGTAGGATAAAATTATCATCCTCAAACTTTGTCAGGCTCTATCCCATGAAGCCACCAGCCAAATATGAATATTCAATACCGTTCAGCTCTTAAGAAGAAGTCGTTTCTAAAGTTTGACACATTTGACCCCTGTGACCTTGAAAGTAAGTCAAGGTCATTTTTTGTTCTCAATTATTTTCGGACTCCTACCAACGAAGATTTCAGCTTAATATCGTGACTCTAGGCCTGTTTTTAATGAAAAAGTTGAGAGACGTAGGACGGACGACGGACGACGGACGCCGCACCATGGCATTAGCTCATTTGTCTTTCGGGCAGATGAGCAAATAACCAAAGTGGTATTATTATTTATTTATTTTTTAATTATGTATCACGCCTTTTATATTAATAAATATACTTGTCACACCTGTTTGTGCCGTCCACGTGTCCACCTGAGTATTTGTCACCTGCATTGTACTGTCATGTTATTGTCTTGTCACGGGATTGCGTGTTCGTACGTGCACTTGAGAGATTTCACATGTGACATCATTCCCGTACTACACATGAACAGTACATGACGTACATGTATCATATTATATATCATTCGAGTAGTGCAAGAAGTCTGCCTCCTGCATACTCCTATTCCTTTTTTGTTTAGGCGATGTCTCCCCGGGGTATGCTTCGCCCTTAGCTCTTGTGAGCCGTTAAAACGAAGGGAAATGGACATTATATCAGTAAAGCTATATATTTTAGAAACATGTTAATAAATCTTCATGTTTTTCTTGCCTTAGACTGTTTTATTCAAATAAAGCCTCCCAAAACCTTTTATTATTCGACAAATCTCACGATGGATCAAACGACATTTCATTGAACTAATGGCGACATACCTGTATCAGCAGTGAAACTTCGTGTCAGTTGAGTCGTTTTTACGTTGTACAAATGTCTGGATTCGCGTGCACAATATGTTTTGACAATAATACTGTGATGAGTGTTGTATAGACCATATCTTTATCCGGTGATACCTCGCTCAAACAGGTGTGTCACGATTGTTACTGGCGTTATCCAACTTAAACTGTACAATCAGCGATTCCTGACGTTCTCCCTTTACGCGTAGATCACGTATACCATTCAGTTGTTTCTCATATTTACGGTCCCTGCAGGTAGGGCGTAAGAATTGTACCTGATGCCCCCATTGCAGGATCGTAAGAGGCGACTAAATTTGGGAAATTATCGTTTCTCTTCTTTCTAAACAATTTTTTTTTCCGGATGTCTCCCTTGACAATGCCTCACTTTTGGCCTTTAGTTGAGAGTTCGCTCCTGAGAGGAAGGCTTTGGGTTCTGTCCCCTGGTCGAGACATACCAGAGTCCGTAACAATGGTAGTTTCTACTCCTGCTTAACGCTCAGTAATTTAGGAGTGTGACGACTAGTTCGCCCATTGTCAGTATACTGTGATCGGGTGGGGTGTCCTGCTTGGTGTCCTCGGAAGTATATTTCAGTGAGGTAGCACTATAAAGTCGGCATCAGTTCTGCGCTATCACAAGGAGACAAACACGAACATATGACAGCCTCCCAAAACACACGCATGCACTGCACGCATGCATCTTGCACATAAGGAGGCCGTCCTTAAATGACCATAGCTGTTGATAGAACGTTAAACAATACTAAACTAAACTAAACTTGAACAAAATGAAATGAAAACACACGCGTTTAAAATAAAAAAATACCCTCGAAATTTCAGCTAGTGCAAATAACCCTCGACGCTGTCAACAACGTAACATCATATAATATGTTTACATTGCAACGCTTTATCTTTTGAATGAAACCACTAATGAGCAGCGGACTGGAGAACAGAAACAACTGGCCTGCGTTAACCCTAGTTATTAAAATAAAATCCCAAGGGACCTGTCTTCATACGATCTTAGCTTTTGAGAGAACATTTTACTCTGGGGAAAAAAATTCCCGAAACGTCCAACTTAATTTTATTGGATATATTACATAAAAAAACATTTCATTTTCTGTATAATTGCAAGGAATGATTGTATCAGTAAAAATAGTTTGGAACGTAATTAAATGCGTTGGGCACCGCTGCATTGACATTTGATAACATAGTTTCCTGCCGCGACACATAATGAAGGCATAACTCATGCATTGCACGGGAGCTACGAGCTACGTATATAGTTTGTGTTGCTACGTATACTGTCGCAGCCAGCAACAGTCGCGCGTGACCATCAGATATGTCTAGCTGTTCTGTAGAACATAATAAAAGGGGTGACAGCGAAGTGGTAGCGGACGGAAATGACAAAGGAGGGTGTGCACCTTTATAGTCTCTCGATGCCTTGATGTAATAATGTCATGACAATATATAAATACGTTTTTGTAAGCGGTAAGATTGATTACCAATATGACCGACAGGGAGGTGATACTGAATACATCGGCCGCGGTTGGAATGTACACCAGGTGCTTTATTACTCAGGAACCGGAATTCGTCATAAATGAAACAAACGAGGGTGATTCTAAGAGTTGTCTACCTACTGTCGTAATGGGATCTGATGATTACTCTCCATTATACAAAGTTATTGCAGTGATAGTTCCTCTTATTATCTTCATGATCGGAATGCTTGGAAATTTATTGGTGATCGTCGTGGTTTCACGTCGGAGAAGCATGCAGACTCCGACCAACTGTTATCTTATAAGTTTATCGGTAGCTGACTGCCTCCTACTTTTGTCAGCAACACTTCCCTCTATACCAGAGCCCCTCTTCCGACGAAACCACTGGCCGTGGGGAAGGGCCATGTGTTCTGTTCTCGTATTCGTACAATATCTTGGCGCCGACGCGTCGGCTCTTTCAATTACCGCATTTACTTTAGAGCGTTACATTGCTATATGTCACCCAATGAAGGCACAAACAATATGTACTGCTCGCCGAGCTAAGCGTATAATTATCTCACTCTGGTGCTTTTCTGTGCTTTATTGCACCCCCTGGCTTGGATTGACTACTATGACGTATAACTTAACCTGCGACGGGTCGGCACCCCTTCATAGTTGTACATACAGGTTAGAGCGAGAATCGTATCTGTTTTATTACATGACGGACTTTTTCATCTTCTATGTGTTCCCTTTACTTTTGTCCGGGATTCTCTACTCGTTCATTATCAGGATACTTTTTAACAAGTCAGCATTAGATTCGGACGGAAGCAAAGCTCCGGAATATTCCAGCCGTACACGTCAAACGTCCAATTCCCGGTGCCAGGTAGGTTTATTTTATATAATCAATATATTTAAATCATCATATATAAATAATGAACCTTGATCTGATGACTAGTGCTAAAGCGAACTTTTTATAATACAATTATTTTGATATTACGTACAGATAGGAGTACATATTGTATCAATCCCGTCAGGTTACGGGAAAGAACGTCGATGCTGTTTCAAACTTAATCGTAAGTGGTTATTAATGTGGGGATCCGACAAAGTCAGTTTTATTTTTGGCTTGCCGGAGGACACACAATAACATTGATTTGCTCCACTGAGACAGTTTTTATTAGATCTCCTACCTACGCTACATTTCGGCGTTGTCGCCGCAGACACCCGTCTGTATATGAACTCAGAGGTTGCGTGGACAAACCAACAAGAACTTGTATCTTATAAAAGGAGGGTTGCCGACTAAAATGCTTCACTTGACGAAAACGGATAAGCTTGAGATCATTTTGCAGAAATAAAATCTAGGGCTATGTCATATGGAATGGCGTGCTATTCTTTTATCATCCTTGTATGCAATGAGGTGAAATTGAAAAACGGTAAAATATTGCATTTTATTTTGATCCATTTTTCAAACGAGTTTTAAACAGCATTTGAATTAATACAAAATAAAATAGCAGAAAGTGGAGCGCCTTGCTTCATGCATCTTTTTCCACTAAAAAACAAAACGAGTTTATTACCTTGGCCAGAAGCGACTTTCTGTTTACGATTATGATTACATAAGATTTATTTCGAAGAAAACTATAGTTGTAATTTCAAAGTAACTTTTCAAAATCGTTCTCTTGTTTCATTTATGACCTTATCCTAGACTTAATTACTGCAAAACAAATCAAGCTGAACCATTACGGCAAACTAAAGCATTAAAGCTGACGTTATTCATGATGATATGATTGAACTTTAGTATAATATTATACATACATATTTACCATCGTATGGCATTGCCACTATATAACCCTGCCAAATTCAGTTGGCATTCATATAGGCTATGATTGCCATGAACCAATTGTTGACGTCGTAATTGTTACGTTGGATGCCACTGACCCTACTTGGGCGATGGCTGTTCTATTCATTGAACAAGCATACACGATACATACATTATTTTTACTAAATGTTGAATAATAGTAAATGTAATTGAGTTTTCTATGAGATGAACAGATTCTAAAAATGGTAAATATAAGTATTGAACTGCTTTCAGTTGGCATTCATAGGAAAAAAGAAATTTCAACTGGACAAAGGCAAATCCAACATGAACCGCTAACGCGCTTCATTAAATTTGCCTTTGTCCAGTTGGCATTCATATTACCTATGGATGCCAACTGAAAGCAGTTCAATGCTTAAATATTTCCCTTTATTCGGAAGTTCGGGGAAAGAATAAGTTTGCTGTATCCAACTACATGTTGTATGAGGCGAATTGACCATAGTTTATATGATACCCCTATTGCTGCACTTAATATCTGTATTTCCTTTACCTTTTTGACAACGCTTTCCTGTCGATTGGTGTGTCGTCTCCCTGTGTACCGATTGGTGTGTCACCTCCTTGTGCACCGATTGGTGTGTCGTCTCCCTGTGTACCGGTTGATGTGTCGCCTCCTTGTGCACCGATTGGTGTGTCGTCTCCCTGTGTACCGATTAGTGTGTCGTCTCCCTGTTTACCGATTTGTGTGTCGTCTCCTTGTGTACCGATTAGTGTGTCGTCTCCTTGTGTACCGATTGGTGTGTCGTCTCCCTATGTACCGATTGGTGTGTCATCCCCCTATGTACCGATTCGTGTATCGTCTCCCTGGGTATCGATTGGTGTGTCGTCTCACTGTGTACCGATTGGTGTGTCGTCTCACTGTGTACCGATTAGTGTGTCGTCCTCCTGTGTACCGATTGGTGTGTCGTCCTACTGTGTAACGATTAGTGTGTCGTCCTCCTGTGTCTGATTGGTGTGTCGTCTTCCTGTTTTGTGCCGATTGGTGTGTCGTCTCCCTGTGTACCGATTAGTGTGTCGTCCTCCTGTGTACCGATTGGTGTGTCGTCCTACAGTGTAACGATTAGTGTGTCGTCCTCCTGTGTCTGATTGGTGTGTCGTCTTCCTGTTTTGTACCGATTGGTGTGTCGTCTCCCTGTGTACCTATTTGTGTGTCGTCTCCCTGTGTACCGGTTGGTGTGTCGTCCTCCTGTGTACCGATTGGTGTGTCGTCTCACTGTGTACCGATTGGTGTGTCGTCTCACTGTGTACCGATTGGTGTGTCGTCCTCCTGTGTACCGATTGGTGTGTCGTCCTACTGTGTAACGATTAGTGTGTCGTCCTACTGTGTAACGATTAGTGTGTCGTCCTCCTGTGTCTGATTGGTGTGTCGTCTTCCTGTTTTGTACCGATGGGTGTGTCGTCTCCCTGTGTACCGATTGGTGTGTCGTCTCCCTGTGTACCGATTAGTGTGTCATCTCCCTGTGTACCGGTTGATGTGTCGTCTCCATATGTACCAATTGGTGTGTCGTCTCCCAATGTACCGATTGATGTGTCGTCTCCTTGTGTACCGATTGGTGTGTCGTCTCCCTGTGTACCAATTGGAGTCTCGTCTCCCTGTGTACCAATTGTTGTGTCGTCTCCCTGTGTCCCGATTGGTGTGTTCTCTCCCTGTGTACCGGTTGATGTGTCGTCTCCCTGCGTACCGATTGGTGTGTCGTCTCCCTGTGTACCGGTTGATGTGTCGTCTCCCTGCGTACCGATTGGTGTGTCGTCTCCCTGTGTACCGGTTGGTGTGTCGTCTCCCTGTGTACCGATTGGTGTGTCGTCTCCCTGTGTACCAATTGGTGTCTCGTCTCCCTGTGTACCAATTGTTGTGTCGTCTCCCTGTGTACCGATTGGTGTGTTCTCTCCCTGTGTACCGGTTGATGTGTCGTCTCCCTGTGTACCGATTGGTGTGTCGTCTCCCTGTGTACCGAGTAGTGTGTCATCTCCCTGTGTACCGGTTGATGTGTCGTCTCCCTGTGTACCGATTGGTGTGTCGTCTCCCTGTGTACCAATTGGTGTCTCGTCTCCCTGTGTACCGATTGTTGTGTCGTCTCCCTGTGTACCGATTGGTGTGTCGTCTCCCTGTGTACCAATTGGTGTCTCGTCTCCCTGTGTACCGATTGTTGTGTCGTCTCCTTGTGTACCGATTGGTGTGTCGTCCCCTTGTGTACCGGTTGGTGTACCATCTCCCTGTGTACCGATTGGTGTGTCGTCTCCCTGTGTACCTATTTGTGTGTCGTCTCCCTGTATACCGATTGGTGTGTCGTTTCCCTGTGTACCGATTGGTGTGTCGTCTCTCTGGGTACCGATAGGTGTGTCGTCTCCCTGTGTACCGGTTGATGTGTCGTCTCCATACGTAACGATTAGTTTGTCGTCTCCCTGTGTACCGATTGGTGTGTCGTGTCCCTGTGTACCATTTGGTGTTTCGTCTCCTTGTGTACGGATTAGTGTGTCATCTCTATGTACCGATTGGTGTGTCGTCTCGTAGTGTACCGATTGGTGTGTGTCTCCATGTGTACGGATTGGTGTGTCGTCTCCCTGGGTACCAATTGGTGTGTCGTCTCCCTGTGTACCGACTGGTGTGTCGTCTCCTTGTGTACCGATTGGTGTGTCGTCATCCTGTGTACCGATTGGTGTGTCGTCTCCCTGTGTACCTATTTGTGTGTCGTCTCCCTGTGTACCGGTTGGTGTGTCGTCTCCCTGTGTACCGGTTGGTGTGTCATCTCCCTGTGTACCGATTCGTGTATCGTCTCCCTGGGTACCGATTGGTGTGTCGTATCACTGTGTACCGATTGGTGTGTCGTCTCCCTGTGTACCGATTGGTGTGTCGTATCACTGTGTACCGGTTGATGTGTCGGCTCCATATGTACCGATTGGTGTGTCGTCTCCTTGTGTACCGATTGGTGTGTCGTCTCCCTGTGTACCGATAAGTGTGTCATCTCCCTGTGTACCGGTTGATGTGTCGGCTCCATATGTACCGGTTGGTGTGTTGTCTCCCTGTGTACTGGTTGGTATGTCGTCTCCCTGTGTACCGATTGGTTAGTCGTCTCCCTGTGTACCGATTAGTGTGGCATCTCCCTGTGTACCGGTTGATGTGTCGGCTCCCTATGTACTGGTTGGTATGTCGTCTCCCTGTGTACCGATTGGTGTGTCGTCTCCTTGTGTACCGATTGGTGTGCTTGGTGTGTCGTTTCCCTGTGTACTGCCGTCTTCTTGTGTACCGATTGGTGTGTCGTCTTCTTGTGTACCGATTGGTGTGTCGTCTCCCTGTGTACCGCTTGGTGTGTCGTTTCCCTGTGTACCGATTGGTTAGTCGTCTCCCTGTGTACCGATAAGTGTGTCATCTCCCTGTGTACCGGTTGGTGTGTCGTCTCCCTGTGTACCGATTCGTGTGTCGTCTCCTTGTGTACCGATTGGTGTGCCGTCTTCTTGTGTACCGATTGGTGTGTCGTGTCCTTGTATACCGATTAGTGTGTCGTCTCCCTGTGTACCGGTTGGTGTATCGTCTCCCTCGGTACCGATAGGTGTGTCGTCTCCCTGTGAACCGACTGGTGTGTCGTCTCCCTGTGTACCGATTGATGTGTCGTCTCCCTGTGTACCGATTTGTGTGTCGTCTCCCTGTGTACTGATTGGTGTGCCGTCTTCCTGTGTACCGATTGGTGTGTCGTCTCCTTGTGTACCGATTGGTGTGTCGTCTCCCTGGGTACCGATTTGTGTGTCGTCTCCCTGTGTACTGATTGGTGTGCCGTCTTCTTGTGTACCGATTGGTGTGTCGTCTCCTTGTGTCCCGATTGGTGTGTCGTCTCCCTGTGTACCGGTTGGGGTGTCGTCTCCCTTTGTACCGATTGGTGTGTCGTTTCCCTGTGTACCGATTTGTGTGTCGTCTCCCTGTGTACCGATTGGTGTGTCGTCTCCCTGGGTACCGATTTGTGTGTCGTCTCCCTGTGTACCGGTTGATGTGTCGTCTCCCTGGGTACCGATTGGTGTGTCGT